GGCGTTAAAACAACAGTCCGCCTCCTCCGCCGTCGGGGGATTAATAACTTTTTCTCTTCCTTTGCGGGTGACCGACATTTTCAACGCATTCAGACGGTTGTGTCAGTGGAGCGCATTTTGTATACGTTGCAGGAAATCCCCTAAAAATAAAATAAATTAAAAAATAAAGAAATAGAAGAGCAACGGCGTGAAATCACGGAAGAGAGATCAACCCCCTAAAAATAAAATAAATGAAAAATAAAAAAAGTAAAAGAGAAAGGGTGGGAAGCACAAAAGATAAACTCATAGGAAAAGAAAAAAAGAGGTAGGCTCCTGAAAAACGACTAATTTTATGTCTTTAGAATGATAAGAGTAACGCAGAGTTTCTTTCTCCTCAGTTGGGACATGATAGCTAAATCGCATCAACTCTGCTGGAGAGCGAATAGTCGCATACGAATGGGGGAGAGGTCAACGAATTGATCCCAGAGTAGCTTTTTCCTTTTTTTTGGTTTTGATAAGGATTTATTGTTACATCGTTTGGGTCTCTTTATTACCTTTCTTAACCGTAGGTGCTAATTTCGTCTCACAACACTTGTCGGACGTTTACACAACCGTCGCCACGAGTAATTGCTTCGTGGAAACTCAAATATTCTCTTACGGTAAGGCCTACCCATAAACAGGTGAAATTCTTATTGTATCGTCTGCTGATGTATAGAACAGTTTTGCGTTCGCAACAACATAGAATGTTCAAGAAGTTAAAAAAGTAATAAAAAATGTCCATCTGTATCCTTATGGAAAGATCCACAAGAATAAAATATACTCAAAATATGTATGTCGGTGCCATTCCTGAAAACTGAAAATATTTTAACACCAAGTTGCCGAATTTGATTAAAATATATTGGCTAATTAATGAAGCCGTAGTTCTTAAAAATTCAATTTTTCTTTCATCACATTTATTTCATTCTCGGGTCAGTCGAATATTCCTTGTTTTATGTTCTCTGGGTGCCAGAATAGCATTGCGGTACGGCTGTTCAATCATCCTGACACCCTTCAGTTTTCATTAAGATGGACCTTGGGTTATTAAGGAAGATATAGAAATAGAGGTGTATAATATAGGAATATATCTAAAGTGCGAATTGGCTACTCGGCAAATTAGCCGATTAATGTTCACACAACACACAAGTGAATAAAATCCAAAGAATAAGCAGCTTCGAAGCATAATTCAGTCTTTAATAGGATAATATGCAAATTAGACATGGGGCTAGTGAAGGTGAAGGGCGTTCCGGCGATAAGATGTGATGCACGAGGATCTGTGTGCCGGTAGAAAGTTCCTGAGGCTAGTGAGAGACAAGGTGTGTAGTTTCGAGTTCCACAGTGTCAGCAGTAAATTTCCTTTTAAACAGTAACACTTCACCTAATGTCCCTGTATACTTCAGTGGACGCTTTACTATTCATTTATGTGTTGAGTGATGTGTCTATGGTCTTCAGGCTTTGCAAATCACATAAAACAACCTCGATCTGAACAACGTGGCTAATGCCGACATTGGCCAGAGAATGTCGAAAATGTTCCGTTCATCGTTATTCATTCAGCTTTATCCAAACGGCCCGTCCAACGTGCGAATTAAATGACCATTTCGCAAATTAGCCATACTTCAGACTTTAGGCCTACCGTCTCGACGGGAAGCAACATCGTTGTGTCTAGAGCATTGTTGATCGGGAGGTTCGATTGTTAGAGTCCTGGCAGTGGGGTAGATTTTTGACATTTGCTACATAGCTGCGACAAAGATGCACCCAGTGTCTGGAGAAGAACTCTAGCAACCCGACTGCTTTGATAGGTTGTTGTCAGTAGTTTCTCAGACCGTACCAGGCGAATGGCGGAACAGCTGCCAAACAAAAGGATCACGGACCGCGCGCCATCTCTCCTTCGGGAGCTTAGAGCTTGCCCTGGTCCCGGGTGCCCAGCTGGGGTGTCCCCTTCCCCCGAGATACACGTCTCACGTCGTGGGTAGGGATGTGAACCACAAGGAAACAGACAAGAGTGGAGTATATACAATTTATTTTACACAGTTAATTATAATATTTAAGGCGTTTGTCGGGAAGCCGAAGTTGCTATCCGACGCGAGTCTCCGTGACGCGGTCTTATGAAGAGCCGAATCACGTGACCTCGTAAGTCATCTCCCTACCACGCGCTTCTCTGAGTCGTGGTCCAACTGCCGCTTTCTTTTGCGCACGGCACCTATGGAGCCAGCCACCTCCCCTCTCAGAAGAGTCCTGGTCTGCTGTGGCACCCTTTGTTCGGGTGGCTGTTTTTAGTTACCCTAACGCTCTGCCTTGCCAGCTCTCAGTACAGGAAGAAAAGCGTATGACGCTACACATGGAAGGGGAACTCACCCTGCAAGCCGGAGGTCGGGACCGGTACTCGCGGTCCAGTTGCAAGGAACACCACCTCCTGGCTGTGATACGCTGAACACTTACAACGCTAATAACCATAGTAGTTGACTCACCCGGAAACACTAAATACTCACTCAGTCTCGAAAGTAATACCTCTGCCTCACTAACCGCTCTAAAGTAAAGGGGGCACTTTACGCATGATTTTATGATTTACGTTAGCATGATTTCATGACATTCGTTTCAGTTCACTTACCTGAATTTCCTTATCAATATAATGGAAGGTATCTCATCTCTTATCACTACTTCCTACTACAAATTGACCCTACAATTAGACCTGACATATCGACTATAAATTGTTGTTAATCTGAAAAAATGTAATATGAGTACGGTCAATGGACCTTACTCCTCTCATTGAAATCCTCTCATGCAAATTGTAATTTTGTAATTTTGCCAAATGTTTCTACCGAAACAAATTGCAAAATAAAGTATTATTATAAAAAAATGACCCTTACACCTAGAAATCGGGTTGTTTATTGTTTTATTTCATTTTAGCCTGATTTTTATCTCTAACACTGTACAATAATAGAAAGCTTTGTAGACTCTAACAATAGACTCATTTCATTTAAAACGAAATGGCATCCATTTCATTAAGTTAATGTTTACGATTATACATTGTCACGACCAACAAGCAAACGTCTCCCCTTTCTTTCATTATCTCCTTTATATTTTTTGTTCCCAAGTAATTTTTTGTAAGGGATTTGTATCATTATTTTTTTCTTAAAACTACCTAAAACTAAAAAGTCTAGTGGTCTGCAACAGCAAAAATGCTGAACAAAAATACCTGAAATGATTTTCCAAGAAGTGCCCGCACACTATCCAAGAACAACAAAGATAATAACGTCGTGTAACACTGCTACAAAATAAATATTTTTACAAAAACAGACTTCATAGATTCTGTAATAACGTAATATAGGACAGATGTATAGTAAAATAGTTCTTTACAAAATTAAACCGAAGATACGGAGAGATCTGAGGTTCGA